CGAATACGAGTGAATGTTCGATTGCGAGAGTATGTTTACGAATGAATTGAGTCCGTGTGACTCTTGTCGATACGAGTGTTTGCGAATGAATTGAGTCCGTGTGACTCTTGTCGATATGAGTGTTTGCGAATGTCTGTCGAGTTTCGTGTGACGTTGCGCTTCCTCCAAGTTCGCTGAAGGCGTTACCAAAATTCGCCTCCTTATTGGTTATGCCCGGAAGGGGAAGGCAAATTCCTTCGGGGCGTAGCGGACGTCAGAAAAATATCGCGCACGTGGTTACGGTGCGACTTGACCGCGACGAATTTTCGAGTCTCTCAACGATAGGGTTTATGACTGTATTGTCTGCGACTCGGCGCGCCCCCGTAAGGCCCGGCGCGGAAGGGTCCCAGGTTACCGTGCGCATGTGGCGGACTGCAGACCAAATGTTCGAGTCTTTTGTCTATTATTCTCTTTGTGAACGAAGTTAAATTGCAAGGGCTGGTCGCGAAAATGTATAAACTGTCCGGACGAAGGAAATAAAATAATCAATAATAACGGTATCGTCTGACTCTATAGCCGTCGTTTCGGTCTACGATGGAACACGGAGACTCCTCGGGCCCTGAGGGTTTCTCCGCCAATAATTCCGGCTCCCCTGAAGCCTGGTTGGAGTACGGCATTCGTTCCTCTGGACGCGCCTGTGCTCCCCAGTGATGGGTCTCTCCCGTTGCCACATCCGCTGGGGGTATTGTATAGAGCAGGCCTGTCCAACATGTGGCCCGCGAGTCATTTCGCCAGACGACGCGGTCCCCACCATCACTCAGTCCATTCCCCACTACTCGCTTGCGCTGCGATGCGATCGTGGAGCACGAGGTACGTGCGGGTAGGAATTTCTGGAGCGTCCGAAGTGGGGACAGTCAGAGCATGTACACACGCTTTCTTGCCTCTATATCGTCGTGCTTCTTGTGGATATAGAGGGGGGTCATTCCCCTCGGCTGAAAGAGCAAGCCGGTAGGGGCGATTATCGATTTTGGGCCGCGAGCCACACTTGGACAGGCCTGGTATATAGGAAGGCGCCGGTCACTGCCACCATGGTCCTATTTCGTCGGTGTCGATATTCGCCTACCCCGCTGTCGACCGGCCGCCTCACGAGGTCGGCTCCTCCACCGTTGGTTGGCGGTGTAGTCTTCTTGTAGGGTGGGAGACTCTTATCCCAATAATCCAAATAATCGGCCGATATTCAATAACCCAATGGCGGTTCCTGTTCAGGGTGGGGGAAAACGGTTCCGGAGTCAGGTGTCGCTTCACGCTCGTTACGGCCCTGTAATTGTGCGCAGATGCTCGGGGCGGTAAAATACGCGGTTAGTCACTGTTCAAATGTTCGCTAATTCTCGGGATTCCCCTAGGAGCGCTCGTGTGCCTGCGAGTGCGTGTGTTGAGCGCTGTTTTTCGGGGCAGAGGGCGGTCCGGTTCTATTCGTATAGCGCTTATGACTATAATAATAAATGTTCAGTACTATAATGGATGTGTTTATATGCATATTTATTTAATCGATGGATAACAACGTGGAGTAAACTTTATAACAAAAAGGTGCTGCTAAATTCAAATTTGGTAGTAACAAAGATGGCTACGGCTGTAGCGGTCCGCGTGGTAGGAAGCGTAGGAACTTTCTGTGTAGCAAATATGGTTGCATGAGCGTTGGTGTGAAAATATTTTGTATGTTTGTCAGTAGAGGCGTGACAGTATATGAAGCGCTAAAGTTGCGGATGATGGCCACATTCGTACTAGGCTCCACGCTCGAATTTGGAGCGGTCGCGTTACGCTGGCAAAAAGCAGTGTAACAAGTTACACTTTAAACAATTTTTTGGTGTTACGATTACCGTGGGAAAAAGGGACTTGGGAAATTAAGATCAGAAAATGTTACCTCATTTTTCTCTTTAATATTTTTGCATGCTTTCATCGTCGAAAAAGATAATTAAATGTTCTAGTGCCAGCAGATCAGTCAGGTAATGATTATCTATCCTACTTTCTGTAAAGTAATGTCGAATATAAGTAATGAAAAAGATTACGTTTTAGTAATTGTCTACAGTGCAATGCACTTCTTATAAAATAAAATACCATAGCTTTTCACGTTGTGCTAATGATAAATGTCACGCATCTATTTAACTCCCAGATTTGCTTAGAGTGTAGGAGACCGTAAAACAAGCTTTTCCAGTTGACCCGCCCTTTTACTCCGTAACCCCGTGTGTTACACAAATATCGTTCGAAGCTCCGAAAAAGATTTTATCTAATCAAGACCGTAGATGTTTCATTTGTGAATTCGCCCCGAGAACAGATTTTTGGAATTTCCTCGCCTCTCTGAAATAGTGATAAACACGAAAGGTTTGAGAAATTTTCATATTTGAAATTACGCTCTGCAAATCAAATTTTTACACCACCCCGCCCGTAATTTACTCGCTTGTAAACCATGTAACCACGTCCCCATTTCGAGTAAATTACAGTGTATGTAGTACCAACAGGTTCAGTTTAACACGTTCACCGCTTGATTATTTATAAGAATACAGATTGTTATAATAATTGTTATTGGAAATATTGACTGCTCAAGATCACTAGACTTGTCACCATAACTCTGTCATCCTTTGTTGTCCTTTAAGATTTCAAATATAAATTAATAGATTGAAGACAGATATCATAACCATTTATATGTCTGTTTATTTCAGCAGGCAATTGACTTTTTTTATTTTTTTCATTATCCCGTTTTCCGTGAAACGATTTTTGAAGACACATTTTCTTTTAGTCTTTACATTACACAATACTATCTGAGTTAGAAGAAATTGTTTTTTTATTAAGTTGACTTTAAGTTAATTTTAATACGATATACAGCATATTCGGTTCAAGCGTACATGTCACAGTAAAATCGTGAAGTTCAGTAAGTGTATAATATCATACTTACTAGTCAATGTATGCATTTGCGTACGATTTTAGCAGAAGTATGAACCGAATATAAGAATGTATACTACTTCTAGTAAATGTATTTATTTACTAGATAATACATACATTTGTCATAGCACGTTAGTAAAAGCATAACGTGGAATGTATAATTTTTGTAGATATTTAAAGAACAAAAGTGAAAACTGTAAACTTAACACTTTATTTGATAATTTTAAGAAAATTGGTTATTTTTATTTAATTAATATAAAAGTATAGGTTAGGTCATGTTATATTTTATTTAACACACTTAGAAAGAAGCAACTATAATGTAAAATAAATACTTGAGTTACACAAATTTACAGAAAATTGTTGTTTTTATTTAATAAATATTAACAAAATCTATAGGTTATATGATTCATATGAACAAATGTTAGCAACAGTGTTTATTGAAATTAATGTACGTATTTTTGTTCATGCACGCTTTTACTAAATCAGGATTTTAAATGTATGCATTTACTAATAAAGTATAAATTTCGTTCTTTGTGAATAGATTTACTAACCAGATTATTAACTGCTCACATTGACTAGGAAATGTACACATTTACTGAATTAATGTTTTTACTGTAACTTTTACACGCTATTATTTCTCTAACTATATTGAAAATGCGAGAAAATGTGAGAAAATGTTTCATATAATAGTTGTTTGAGTTCATTAAACAAACTTAATAGAATATAAGAATGTTTTTTAATTGCTATTTAGAGAGTTTTTAGTAACAATATAATTTCTTTTAAAGGAATTGCATATTTTTAGTATTGACATGTTATTAAGCATTTTAAGACGAATTCAACGACGTATAGTAGACTCACGTTAAAGTAGCGGTAGGAACGCCCCAGCTCACATGCAGTACTCACGTACATACGTGTGCGCCACTCTACTATCGGTCGTCATCTGTAACCAAAGTTTTGATTCAATTGGTGAATCGACCGAACTGCCACGAGATCCTGTGTGCCCATTGGCTCACGTTGAAGTAGCGTTTCCAGGAAAAACCCGCCTCGAAAGCCCGACACCGTTACTTTAACGTGAGTCTACCGTATTTAAAAGTTCTGTTTGAACAATAATTTCTCGGATCAAACAACTTTTATGGGATACATTTTTCGTATTACCAGTAGTTAGAGAAATAATAACGTGTATACACTTAAAGCAAACATACTGTACATATACAGTTACTTCTTCAAAATTGGTTGTGTATGAAGAAATTTGTGTGGTTTATTATTATCATCTAGAATGTCTCTTTTATATAAATTTTGTTATCATTTGATTCATTTCATGGATGTGGGAATGACTTTGAGTAACCAGCATATTTTCACTGGAATTGTAAGAATTTTATAATTTCTATTTGTACTAAGCAGTTTAAATTTTCAGTACTGGGCGGGTTAGGTGGTACAAACCGATATAGGGTGACTCCTCAAATAAAAATCGGTACAGATTATAAAACTAATGCTTTGACGTGGACTTTCAGTAATAAGAAATGTTTTCGTTAAAACTAAAATACCTCTTACGTTAACAACTTTATTAAACAACAATTTCACATTTCCTTTATAGGTAAAATAAAGATCTGCATTGAAAGAAATATTTAAAAATTTGGTGTCTAACTTAAAAAAATTTCTTTAAAAAATTTACCAAAATGTTTAAAACATTTTCTTTTATTTCACAAACTGTTTGAAAGACTGAAATTGAGCTCAAATCCTTTACTTCATGGGACGTCTATGTTGGCTACCACTAATTTCGTTAGATTTTGTTTGCACATTATCTTTTCTTTCTGTTATTTTACATTTCATTTATTTATAAAATCGATATTGTCAAAAGAAACAATATTGTGAATATTTGTGATAGTATAAAGGAAGTTATATTTTCGGTTACTATTGTGCGAGGAGTTACTCTTTATCCGTTTGCACCACCACCTAACCCAGATCTTGCAACAGAATATACAGAAAAGATTAGAACTTTGTTCCTCATGGCGAAGAACGTGTTAACGCTGTATCGATAGCACGTATGCTCCTCTTTTTACTGTAAACGCTAGTTTTCCCTCTAGGCTGTCACAGTTGCACACGGTGAGCCATTCGAAAGACGTACGATTGAGGGACGAACGAGAGTTGAGGCACACGCAGCAAATGTCTTTGCTAGCGCACAAAGACGTTCTAAGTACCTTGCCCCCCGAAGCGGCTGCCAGGCTCGTCAATGCAAATTATACACTATGTATGTATCTCATCAAACGTCAGGTTCGATGTTTGACTCAATATTTCACATTTTCTTTTAATTTTTTGTACCAATGTTGCTTTTTTGTCTTTTTTCTCTACTTTACCAGCGTAACGTATCTACTTCTTAGGCTGTGCTATGAGTACTTACTGTTGTTTTGCTTTTTTTCGAATTTAGGATGTATCTTCATGCGAATAATACTCAACATTAATAGATTGTTGATCTCTATGAAAATTGACACTTTGGTGAGCTTATGGATAGAAGAATCGAATGAAAAACCATTTTTATAAAGAATTTTTTATTTGAATCGTCAATCTAGTCGTTCATATGTACATATAATAATTTTGTCAGTACATCAGACGTGGAAGTTACAAAAAATTATATATAAAAAGAACCGATGTAAATTATAAAATTTACTACACGATTGGTAATGAAATATTTTCAGCCACTATCAACATAATAGTGAATTTACGATTTTCATAATTTTTATACGTATTCAGGTTTTTATAATTTTGTTACGTTTTTGGATTTACATGAATTTTATACATTTGTAGACTGTCGATTCTTATATAAAATTAATGAAAAAATACCTATACGTATACACTAATGTTTATAACTCTTTGAAGAAAGTTTTATATTTTGAACTACACTTCGATAATTCTCAACGATCATAACTTTTACTTATTCTATGGCTGTCATTATTAAGATAGCTATTTTTTTTAAATAACATCCTTTTTAATAAAGAAACACAAATGTGGGTGGACAAATTATATAGGAGTGTGCATTCGATGCGGCTTAAGTTTTAAAAAATAAGCTGTCTTTGTTTCGCGAAAGAGTCACCAAAAATGTACGAAAAAAATGGGCCACTGTCGTGTCCACATCAGGCACTAATTCTTTTTCATTCATAAAAATATAATTTCTTCCGTTTTTGTACACCCATATCCAGAGAAATTGAGACATTAAACACAAGTAAATACACACGCGAAAGTGTAAGTTAAATAACACGGAAAATAAAATAAATAAAAGTAATATGGACATACAAACTCATAGAAAGGTAAAGAAAGCATACATAAAGAACGAGACTGAATTAATTCTTTAATTGAAAATTACTTGTGACACAGCCTAAATAGTCTTAATCCTTTTTAAATCATAAGCATGTTAAGGAGTTGCAGTAGAAATAACGTAGTTAGAAACGAGAGAAACAAATTCAAAGAATATATATATGTATATGTATATGTATATTGCAAGACTTGTTCAAATTTAAGGAAATACAGAAATTATTTAATGGATTTTTGTTACATAATAAATGTATTTACAGCTAGGAATGTTCAGAGTCAGTCGAGCGTCTTACTGAATTGGCTGTGGGGAAAAAGGTAAGTTTTTCATTCAGTACGGTAAGCTGCCAATCGTCTAATCGTCATTTAGTTGATTGAGTACTATTTAACGGAAAATTAATTCTTTGAGTAGTTTTTCCCTTGTGAATTTGTTTCGAAAATTGATAGTATTCAAATAAATGCAGAAATTGCTAAAAAAAAATTAAAATGATAATATTTGTTAAATAACACGTGTTTATACATTATCAAAATTTTAATATGAGACAAAAATTAATGTTAGTAAAGAAGAACAAGGAAGTAAAACATAATTCTTTTAATTCAATTGAGTTTTTATAAGGACGGTCACTCACTTGAAAGTCGAGAATAGGTATGTACTTTCTAGATAAAATTTTATACATACATATCTGTATCTTAAATTATTTTAAAATACTTCCTCACAAACTGTGTATGAGATATGGAAGAGATAAGGATATCCTTATTGAATTATTTTTTCTTACAAATTTCTTTCAAGATTATAGAAACCATAGTATTATAAATGTAACTATCACCATTCAGCGAAAAAAAAGTTATATGGCAATACATATTCACAATATTTAATTTGCAAAATTACTAGAACTGATTTTTACACGAGTGCCCATCTTAAAGAAACTGGTTGTTGTTAAACCATTCGCAACACTAAACTGTTTTCATTAATTTTTCATATTCTGAATTTGTTTAACTACAAAATGTAGGAGTTTAAATACTAAAATAAGCTCACCACCCGTTTGCAGTGAAATTACTCAAAGTCTACTCTAATATTTGATTAAACACAGCATCACTTTACATCACAGCTGCGCAATTGATTGCTCACGAGCTTAGGAGAATTCCCACAAGAGGGAATAGGTGATGTCAATTACCTCCAGTATCACTCTACACTGGGTCATTCCACGCGAAATCGGATACTTTTTAGAGCACTCTTTCGGATTTTGTTAAAATTTGGATATTTTGTAGTCTTTAGCGATATATAAAAGTATCTCGAAGGATTTTTGAAAATTTTAGAAATTGTTGATTTTATAGCTGTTTGAAATTTAGGGTCAACGTTTGTTCAATAAATCATAACTATTGAACTAAGAAACTGATCGAAATGAGCTTTCCGGGTACTTATAGTGGAGACATAACAGTACCTGATCAAAAGTATCATATTTCAGTTAGAAGAAAACATTTTTTAACCATTTGGTTTGTAACTGTTTTAAATAAATGTAATTTTATAATAGTAGGATCCAATTGAAAAATTTGAAAAAAATTGAGGATGTAGTCCTATTTGTCTTCTTTATGGACGAATTTAAAAAAATGTGGAGACTGTAAAATTGGCCATATGAAAATTAATTGAAGTTAATGCTGCGTCGAAGCCCATAGTACCACACGGCTGGGCCGGTAGAGCCGGTGTAATTCGATGCAGCGTTCACTTTAATTAATTTTCATACGGCCAATTTTAAAGTGTCCATATTTTTGAACATATGTCCATAAATATCTTCATTTTTTTTCAAATTTTTAAATTCAATTTAAAAGAAAGAGGCCTTCATTCCCTCGATCTGGTAACGCTGTTCGTGAGCAATCAGCAGTCGTGCAGTTCTGCATTACATATAAACGATTTTCTCGTAGCACGCCAAAGGTCGTACACATGTGATGGGACGCTGATGACGGCAAAGTCGTCACCCTGCTTCTTGCCTTCTGGATACATTCCTGCCAAGTGCCAACTGCCAAGACAATTCCTGTAACTAGACTAAACCGAGGCGATAAAACTCTATTACTGTGTAGTAACGTTTCGGCTAGTTTGATCGCTCAGAGGTCGCCTGTACTTGCGAGAGGTGACACGTGTCCTATTTTTTTGGAAGAAAGGGACTTGAGAAAAACGTGTCTTCACCGTTGAGAGATTCGAAGCGGTGGTGACGAAGAGAGTCCTGCTTTTCCAGGCTTCTAAAACGGAAAGTCGCTCCTCTTCGTGGCCAGAAGAGAGTGCGAGGAGATGACTTCTATTGTATCATAAATCGTTGTATAGCCCATTGTTCTTAGATGCATTGTAAACGAAACATTGCCTTGAAAGAGAGAGAAAAAAAAAAGAAAAACAGAACTGTATATTTCAGTTATTTTATTATTAGCTACGAAACTGTTAACATTGTAAGTTGCCTCTCTCGGGTATCGTTCGATATTCGAGGGACGTGCGTTTGTTCCGATAATTACTCCTTGACGTTCCGATGATTGTTAACGTTGAAAATTGTATTTGTGTAAATTGCGCCGACGACAAATCAACACCGTGTCGACCATGTTTCCTCACGAACAACCTCTCTGTTGAAGGAGGTTAGGGGATACTCGAACAGCGACGCGCTGACGCGTCACATGATGTTTTGGAATTGTTAATTTAATGTTAATTATAGAATTTTGCTTACCAGTGGAACTACTGTAATTGTCCGTTGCTCATTGATGATTCGAACATACTATTTCCACGAAATTTTGTACAGAGAACAGTAAACGTCGGCGAATAAAAAACTTATAAGACAAAATATTTCTTCATCGAACGTGTTTTTTTTTTCCTTTTATTATTATGAAACTGAATTGGTCCTTGCATTGGGAAGGCGTTTCTCAGATTTCGTTACAGGTGTTAACAAAACGCTGTTGTCATTTATTTACAACGGTGTGAATTTTGGTAAGTATCGCCGCCATTTTTGTTCACAGCTACAGACTATTTACAAAAATCTTATCGTATCACCGTTGTGTATCAATATGGTCGGGCAAGCGTTGCATCGTTGCGGATGAATATGTATTGTATGGTGATACCATACGAGGATATGCAACAAATGGACACGCATCTTTACGAGTCTATTAGATGGAGGTTGGAGGAAGTACAACAAACTTACAGAAGCAAGCGGTACTTTCATGGCTCACAGTGTGTTTCATTTTTTTTAAATTGTCCTGTCAACGGTATAATGTTATAGTATACCGTGTGGATTACATAGATTTCATTAAATGAGTCGAGATGACAAGAGGTAGAAATTGAGAAAAAAGAATGAAAATTGGTATGTCTCTACGTAAAGTTGTGCCATTCATTTTTCAGTGTGTTCCATTTACCTTGACTATCATAAAAAATATGGAAGAATATTAATAGTAATATACGTATTAAATGTGAATAATATACTATTAGATTGATGCATAAGTAATGGGAATTTTCAAAATGATATTTTTGTATTACTGTCAGCACAATTTTCCACAAACAGATTATATTATTGAACTGGTATGTTACACAGTACATAATGGAACATATATAGTTGAATAAATAAACTGTTTTCATGTTTAAATAAAACATTTTATTTTCATGTAGAGAAATTCTTAATATTTATGCATCAACCTAATATGCTTACATGAAGACGTCAAATGGTCTGTAAGTGGTCAAATTGAGTGAAAAACACCCAGTAAGATCCTTTGTATGCCACAAACAGTATGACCACTTCTGTGTCTACCTGTGATTCTTATAATGTATTTTGACAATGATTAAAATAGACTCATTGTCAGACCTCGTGTATCCCGCTGGAAAAGTGTCAAGTTCTGTCATTGCATCGAACTACGCCATTTTTCTTGGTCTCTAATAGCTTACTTATCGAATACGACTCTTCTTCGCTAGTTCCAGAACATACTATCGTTTTATGACCATTCTGATCCAGAATCTGCTTTGAAACCGATTTTCCACACTTCAGAGCAAGTAACGTCACCACACCGATGATAAAAAGGCTCACAATGACGGACATCAGAGCTACCGCTGGCCCAGAATACGATCGAGTTTCACTCGCGTTTCTGTAACTCAGTGCTAACGGATTCGGATCGTCCCAACTGGTCCATGTGTTGTTCCATAACGATGGATTTGATTTTGGATCACCGTCACGATTGCTAGGAGGCACCACCGAGAGTCTGTGCTTCAGTAGAATCTTTTCCAATATGGCCAGGATTAGCGGTCTCTTATCAGCGAGGTTCACCATTTCGCAAGGGTCCTTCTCTATATTGAAGAGGCAGGGTGCTTTCATGGGATCGCAAGAGACCTGCGAATTGTAATAAGGAAATTACAAAATATAATGTATATCGAAATCGTGTCAGCCAATTGGCATAGATTTGAACATTTTTATGCTGCAGATAGGAGCAAATTGTGGAGAAGAAGTTTAAGTATTGTAACAGAATTTGTGATTATTGAAGCGATTCATTGAAAAAATGAAATTCCAGTTTTCCAGATGATGATTAACCTCAAATAACTTATAATTATTTAATTTTAAGTTCTTACTATTACTAATACTGTTCAGAACTAATAGTGAATAAAGATTTATGATTTGAACTTTAGCGTAAGTCGTTTCTATACAGGGTGTAATAAAAATGTTGGAGGATCCGGAAATGGGAGACTCGTGAGGTGATTTGAAACAAGTTTTTCCTTAGATCGGGGTTTTTCGTTAATATCTCGTTAACAAAGCCTCGGATAACATTTTTGCTAAGGAAATATTTGTTTCGAATCTCCTCACCAGTTCCCATTTCCGGGTTCTCCAACATTTTTGTTACACCCTGTATAAAAATGTTTTATATAGGATGTGAACTGCTTTTTCGACAAACTGTGGAGACGTGTTCTATAAGCAGAAGTAAGAAGAAATTTTTCTATAGAGGTCAACTGTAGACATTTCGTTACCAATTTATAAACAAGTAACAATCGCACCATGCATAAAGGTGGGTATCCACTTGTTGCGTATCCTCGTGTCGTATCACCGTTGGGTATCAATGTAGATGGGCAAGCGTTGCATCGTTGCGTGTGAAAATGTATCGTATGGTGATACTATACGATGATACGCAACAAATGGATACGTACCTTGATAATGTTGCCATAAATCAAGGTGATAACTAGACTGTGGATTTTTATGCAAAATCAAAGTTTCTAAAGTAATTTATGAAGACAGGAGCAATCGTAGAAATTTATTCTCCCTCCTAAGAATCTTATTGGATTCAGAATGAAATAGAAAACTCCTTGGGTCTGATGGAAGGTTGTATTTCACAGAGGCTTATAGGCCATAGGCTATAAATGCATGAAACCTGCAGTTTAGAAATGACTTTAAGTGCACCATCTGGTGTACATTTGTTTGAAGTTAAAAAAAAAAGTTCAACAAAATTCATTTACATGAAATTACCAACATCTATGTTTACTGGAAAATGTACTTTGACATAGTACTCAATTTACTTTCTGTTAAGCCAATAATCTTTATTTCATTAACGTCCGATGACGATGGTGTTATGAACCTCATTATTTCACAATTTTATAAATTTTTTCATTATTATAGTAAAATATAAAATAGAATCATCAATCTCTCTATAAGAATTTTTGTACCAACTTCAATTTTCAATACATACGTTAAGAAATAAGAGACGATTTAATAACTACCGTCGTGCATTTTATGATTATTGCTGATTTCTGACATCAAACTCATGTTTGATACATGAAATTACATATCAAAAGATACAGTTTAACTAATTTTGGCAAGAGTATTTCTAAACATTCCTCGAAACTTCATAGATTTTACAAAGGACAATACGGCGATCCCTGAAGTTAAATACACGAACTGTTAATATATCATGTTAGTTTCTTTTACAAACCTTGTCTTCCTCTCTGACATTACACTTTATTTCCGCTCTGCGTCGTAACTCCAATATTTCATCAGCGGTGAGTATCCTCTCACGGAAATTCCTTGTTAAAGCAGCACCGTCCGCGTTCTTTACGCTTCTTTTCCTTCGTCCGTTCAATTCCACCGCCTGCCTGGCAGTTATAACGCCCGAGATAGCGACACCCGTTTTGCTGTGCAACACTCTGTTAGGTTTGTATTCTGGAGGAATGCCTTCAGAGGACTGGCCGCTCGCGCCTACCCAGGCGCCACCAGTTTCCGTTTGGCCGATAACGTATTTGAAATCGCCCCGCCTGACAGCAGCGTAATTATCAAGGTCATCGATGTTGATCACAATCTCGGGTCGAGAACTAAGCTTGTCCAATACTAAAGTCGGCCACAGATCGTGTCCGTCGATGTTTTTAAGATGCTCCTTGCTGACTTCTGAAATATGTACACTCCCGCTCATAAGTGTTAAGAGTAAATCCTCGATGAATGTTTGTTATACTAAATTAAATCATATCATATAGTAATATGCTCAATATACAGGGTGTCTCAGCTAACTTAATCACCTTGATAATGACTTAACGGTACACTTTATAAAAATTTTAAGTCACGAAACTTAATTGGCATCAAAGGGCACATCTTATGAGGTACGTGTTTTCTTTGTGGGCGGAGGCATTTCAAAGATTTCAAGGTCACCTTGCTTTTTTTAACGAAATGACCTATTCTTTGTACCATAGATCGATAGAGTATCAAATTCTGAGTAAAAATGTGTTGACCTTTATACGTCCTAAACCTAATACTTAACGAGATATTTACACAATAATTTTTAATACGTACTTTCTATCTGGAAGTTATAGGCACCACTAAAGTAGACAACACGAAAACAGATACACGAAAGTAGACAATTGAATTAATTGGTTGTACAAGCTACACTACTCAAAAACACAGTGGACTACATGTATGTACATTATTGTACATGTAGTGAGTCACAGAAGTATTCGTAAACTCGCAATTCGTAAATTCGAATGATTAATATTCTTTAACAATATACATTCTGAAACGTTTGTCAATAAATCCTTATATCCATATTGTGCAATAATAAGCTTTCGAATGATATATCGTTAATTGGAAATAGTAATATAGGTAAATGGAAAATTAAGCAAAACATCGAAAATTTAATCTCGTAGAAGTATTCTAATTTGTACTAATTTGAAGGGCCACAGGATATTGACAAATATTTACAAATAACTTGATTACCCGAGGATATAACTGGTACGAGTACGAATGCTTTTGTGAGCTTCATTTATGTTACTATGAATTTATACATATACTATATTATTATATCACGTACTATAAGTTTTCATTTATATTATTATGAATTGTTATTTTCCAATAAACGACGCATCATTCAAAAGTTTAGTTATTCCACTACACATCTCTATTGATAAACATTTTAGAATATATATTGTTAAAGAATTATTAGTCGTTTGAATTTAAGAATTTCGAGGATACGAATACTTCTGTGACTCACTGTACATATCCTGATGAACCTTAAATACAATACGTAAAACACTGTTCAGCTGAAAATAACACGAAACATACTACCCCACTACGAAGTGCATAACTTTAAACGCGTTTATCTGGAAAAGTCGTTTTCGCACGTTAGCCGCTTTTTACCAGAGCACGTCAAATATAGTAAAATTACAAGGCATTACAAAATTGCTGGAAGTCCGAATAAATATTTTTTAGATGTTCTGAAAGCTTGATAGACATTGCATATGTTATTACAAAGTAAAAAAAAATGTCCTAAAATATATCATTTTTACAAAACATCATATTATCTTGGTATAGACCAGCTGTCCTGATAATTATGAGCGATAGTGTAGATTTCAATGAAGGATGTCACGTTTTACTCTCATAACTCTGATACTCCCAATTTGTAGGAATTAATGATCATTGGGACAAATACGTTCAACGTACGAAATTTCAAACTGGTGTACAGGAAATTCTCGACAAATCCTCGAAACAATCTCTACGTTAAATGTTTCTGCTTCATCCCTCCTACTGGTCGGGTACCATTTGGAACCAGTCAAGCAAGTAAACACGTCTAGCACTTTCCCTTTCAGGAACTAACGGTTAAAAGTTTTGTAGCCAAGAAAAGATTAAAAACCTGCGTATTTGTGAGACAACACTTATGTGAAGATGAAATTTTTGTATTTTTGATTCTTTGTTCATAAAAATTTGATTAACGTGCCGGTGACATCTTTTTTCTATTAACATATTACACGATTTTACAAACAGTAGTAGTAATGAATAAAGACGATAACAAAACACTATATTAAAAGAAGTAGTGATATACAGGTTGTTTTCGAAATGGTGGTACAACCCGAAAGGATGTGATATTGCATGCAAAAATAAGTCGAAAATGTGGAATAACATTTTTCGTGCGATGATTTGTTTCCAAGATAATCAATTTTACAGTTTCTATAAGTAGAAACAGAGTGCAATGAACAAACGCGTTAGCCAAGTCATATTCAATTGTAATTGTTCATATGTCTAATAGATTTTCAAATTTGATATTCTGGAAAACGCAACATCGTACGAAAAAATGTTATTCTACATTTTCGACTTATTTTTACATGGAGAATCACATCCGCTCGGGTTGTACCACCATTTCGGAAAGACCTTGCATAACACGAAGCAGTGACAAGGGAATGAGATTGTTGTGTGTAAGATCATGGTTCTTTGATTAACAAATTATTTTAGTATAAAGTAAAAGTAGTTTTTATAAAACAAGAAGAATAAGAATTGCTTGCATAATATTGATGAAAATGAGTATCAAATGCAGGTGTTTTAGTAATTATGTAATTATATAAATGCATTTATAGTGTTCGCAGCTGTTTAAAACTTACAATGAGTACAGTATAAAGTTTGTTAAAGTATAACAAGATTTGCATTTTATTTGGAACCTGGTAGAACCCCCGGTACAGTTAACAAATATCCGTTCAATTCAAATTTCCGCAAACTAATCCCAAAGTGATTATATTTATAGAAACATTCGCCGTCTAATGGTAATATTTGCAAGTATACATTAATATTATTAAAAGTTTTTAACTAACCTGCTGCAGACAGCAACGTAGGAAGCCAATCAGACACGAACATCATGTGATTCGAAACTCGTTTCGGTTTCATGATCAACGGGCTCCATATAGCCGCCACGCCTCGAATCCCGCCTTCCCATGGGCTATCCTTCATCTGTAAAACGATGAAATTTCAACGTTGAAGCTTACATGCGAGGTTCCTGTGAACTATGCAAAAAAAAAAAATTTACGCCGCGGAGCGGATAATTGCTGCCCTGATTGCTCAGCAAACCTTCTGTCGGTGCGCCATTGTCACTCATGAACAACACTATACTGTTCTCCAACATTCCACGGCTCCTCAGTGCGTCCATCACTTCGCCGACACTCTGATCTAATTTCGATACAACGGCTGTAAATATTATAGCGTGTTAATAAAAATGTGGAACATTACATAGGGTGGATTCTACGTGCCAAATTAAGACGAAAATCAAGAATGATAAAATTGCGCTCGAGGTAACACACACAAGTTTTGTATTTGCGAATCTATGTTAAACTTGACACTTTTGAAGAAAATTGTGGTTTTTCCGTTATAATGTATGGTTGAATTTTTTTTTATGACTTGTACATCATTTCCTATAGACTTCGACAAGCTGCATTCATATCTGACCGCAGAATATGTTTGCCTCTTTAGGATTTTAAAAAAAATCGATTCAAGTGAAAAAAGTCGATAGAAATTATGATTATTCTTATTTACATGGTGTACTAACAGTTTAGTTCAAATGTAGTCTGTATTGACAACAAAGTAAATCTAAACTAAAGTGTTATTGATTTAGCGTGGAATGACCGTTTCATTTTATTTTATTCATTATTTTTCCTAGATCATCGATCTAGATGAGATCTAGATGATATAAAAAATCCTAGTTGTTGAAATTAATATATACATTTAATTACTCGATAATAACAAGAGAATAACAAGTTTCTTCTTCTTAACCCACTAACGCGCGCACTCAAATTAACTCGAGCAAGCGACATCACGTTGTGAAAAAACCCTTGCGTTAGGGGGTCAATAAGACACAAAATTATTCATAAAAATATTTTTTGTTAAAAAATGAATGTAAGGTAATTGTTTGAAGTTATTAACATAAAAAGTTCATTGACAGCTAAGCAGGTTATTTTCTAGTGGCCGTACAAGTGTTAATTCATTAAAGATTCTTTAAATGTACGGTAAACCAACCACTAATTGATTGCATCCCACTGAATTTGTCCATTGGGCAAAGAAATGTAAATTATAAATTTAAAATGATTAAATGTTTATAAATGGAGTGTAGTTGCACTTTTAATATCTCATATTTATAATTTAGCGTATTAAGCAAACATTAATAAGTACAATTCTTATTAAAAATGTTTCAGAAATCTAGCAGACATTTAGTGGGCTTTTACACGTTTTGCACTACATAAATCATTTTTTCGAAATTACGATACTGTGGTATCGGGAATGTTCCGGGTACCCGGTGCATATTTCTGCACGTAGTTTTAATAGACACTTTTAGCCGTTAGATCAAGACATTTTGCGAGGCGAGGGCCGGAAAAAGGCCATCAAAATGAAGCGGGGTTGACCTGTGTCGGGTTGCGAGCGACGGGGTTTTGGCCCGTCGGCGAAGGTTTGCTGGAATCGAGGATGTTCATGCCCATATTTGGGCATACGAAAAGGTATCGAGAGGGCAAGCGTGGGGTAATGTGGGGAAGGTTAGGTTTTAAAGGGAGGACAGTTTAGTGTGGAAGGCGGTAGTGGAAATTTGCGGCTTATGGAGTCAATATTGTAGTTTAGCTTTAGTCGTTTTAGTTCCTATTTAACACACTATTCAATATTTGTAATACTAGTTTTATTTTCTTTAATTATATTTGTTATCATAATACGAATAAGTAATTATTGTTATAAAAATTGCAAGAAAAATAAATGTGATGTTACGTATGAAGAATTTCCCCTCGTACCTCTTGCTCTAATAGTCTGAGCTCGCACCCGGCAAAAGAAAACGCCCTTACGTCTCGTTATCTCGCGAGTAAGCGGGGGAGTAGAACCCTGTTCCTACGGCGTAGTAACAAAAAAACTAGGAAGCATGACGCAACCTTAACCGTCAAAGATTTCCTTATATGGAAATTTCATAGCATCCCCACCAATTTCTAGGCCTATATAAACCCGTTGATTTCAACCTTCGGGGGACAGAACTGTACCGTTGCCTTTAGAGTCGCGTCGCGTCACGTTTTTGGGGGCTAAAGTCCCCTTTTGAATCCAGTTAACCTTGTAGTAAACCGCGAACACTTTGCTTGTATTTCGGCTAGAATTATTACTTGGCGTTATTCCGTAAAATCCAGTCGCAACACCCGCATCGCCAGTGCGTTAACACTGAGCACATATTTATTTCGGCAACGGTTATTATTTTCTAATTACTTACAAATTTTCAAATGCCCGCCAGAAGTGTCAGATTAAAAGGCCCTTAACCCCATACCTTGCAATTTTCCTGACGTCTACAGTTTCCGGAATTATTTTATTGTTAGTAGTTTCCCAAAAATAAAAGGAATTCTGTACTTATCGTAAATATACATTTGCTTTAAAAGTAAAATATTAGTACCAGCAAGATAGTATTTTATTTCGACTAAAAGAAAACGGATAATATTGAGATTTATTGAATCCATTTTGAGATCGTCACCACGAGTCTAGCTCGATGTCATATGGCAAGGGGTTAAGGCACACGTTTTTCTAAATAGATAATATTTTAATGGGTTTATAAATCTGTCCGCAGTACAAGAAAACCACTAATTTAATAATCATTCGAATCTCTTTCAAACTTAATTCAGACAGTGCTGTAAATCGTTGAAAATCGGCACAATACGCCAGGAGAAATATGCATCATTCACGGTCAGACAGTGGCTGAGAAAAGAGCTACTTCTGGAATCGTGTGTGCACTCTTCGCCGGCGTGTTCGCCTGATCATGCACGCTGGGGGCGAAAGAGTAGCGAGTGTGAAACGGAGGAACAAAGCACGGAAAAGCAAACGAGAGGGAAGTTCTGTGATACCGTTAAACGTCAAGCCGCGGCTCATAAATTCCTTTAATTAAAACTTTTACAACACATTTGTCACTAAAGACTGATTAATTATACGGTTATTTTATAATTCTGTGTAGCTCATTTTGAACCCATAACACGATCCAGAAATCTGTAATATTATCGATATACTAGTTTCCTCTAACTTGGAATAATATTAGGTCGACCGTTCTCACAGTGATACAACTTTACCGCTCGAGTTGAATTATAAACTCGAAAGTTACGAAGCACCAACTAACATTTCCTAACGGCTCCCTGATTTCGCATCAGGTTCGTCCACGTTTTTAAACATTCTAGCGGCTCTCTGACTTTGCGTCAGATTCGTCCGCGCATCTTACTAATAAACCGATACCATATTCCTTGGAAAACCTATATTCGCCGGCCTCTCGCGTTGCTACGGCCCGGGTTCGTAACAGTCATTGCAATTTCAACGGCTGTTTTGTTGTTATAAATAAATACATTCAAGCGTTAATCTCAAACGTGCATAAATTCAACAATTCGGTCATTCACTGGCTGGTTTACCCTATCTCTTATTGCCGCGTGGAATATTCGAATTCAGAGAAAACGATAGTTACCAGCCTGAATTCTCCTTTCAGGATCTAGAATGTACGTGAACTTGGCAATTTCATCGTCAGGTGCGCGCAGAAGCTGATTTTGATTTCCTTTGTGTGGTGCCAAATGAGCCAGATACAGGAACATCGGTTCAGTCGCGTTATGTTCATTGATTAATCTCACCGCTTCGGTCGTGAACAGATCGGTCGAGTATTTTCCCGCAGTTTCCCAAGCGACCGACAGATTTCGTCGCATGTCGAAACCACGAAACTCGCTGAATTGCGGATCCTATGGAACACCTTCTTTAAATTGCAATTATTCACTTATCTATGTTACATCCCATAAGAGTTTCCGAACTGAAATTAAAATAGAATTTTCTTGTAAGATATTTAGTTTTCCCAGTTGTTCAAAAAATTGCTTTGTGTTCTAAAGTGATACATAGTTTAAAATAATGATACGAATTGTAGAAACAGCTCGAATATTCTTTTTTCAAGATGGCGGCCGCAACGACGGTTGGTGCCATTTGAATATTTAAAATAATATTGGTCACTTTTTTCGTGTTTATTTTTAGTTTAATGGAGAGAGATTAATTGTAATATATAATTTTATATAATAATTAAATTAATAAATCATATTGTACAACAGCACTTGAGGTTAAAAAGTTGTACACAGTAGTGAATCTTGAAGTCACAAATTCTCGATTGTCGTTCTTGCCGCCATCTTGACGGAGTATTAGAAATGTGATGAGTGTATTTCTTCACAAGGAAGTTATTCTGAATAACTAATAACTAAATAGCAGATTTTATGTATTAATTGCATGTGAAAATATATAGGATACAATAAAAAATAAAAATTTATAAAATTGATTAACATTTCTACCCCTATAAAACATTAAACTCCCAAAACGTATATTTGCATAAAGATCTGCAGTTTAATAATAACGAATACGTATTATCTATTTCTTGCAGGAAAAATGCTCATTCAATTTAAGTTCGGAAACTATTGAGACGAATCGTGCATATCTTCAAATGATGTACCCTGCGTAATTAATAACTTCAAATGGATGAAATATGACGTTTATAAAATTTCTTTATCAGACATTTACCGGTTCTTGAGTAATGTGCGTGTAATAATCTTGGAGGCCATTCCAGTAGCCGAAATGAGAGTCGAAACCACGATACGTAGGAGTGTACTCTTTTCTAAAGAATCCTAGATGCCATTTACCGACGGCGTGGGTTCTGTAGCCTACCTCTTTCAAGAACTGCAACAGAGATTATTGAATTTCATAATGTTAATCGGTTTTGTAGACAGGAATGTCATACAAGGGAAGAAGAATTTCTCTGTAAACACTTCTAATCAGTCATACGTTCGGTGGAATACATAGAGTAGTAGACAATAAAATTTCACCACTTTTTAAAAACACAGTTTCACGAATATACAGATAGGGGAAAGGTGTCTAAAACGATCCCTTTGAGGCGTAATTTATATAAAAAATACAAATACTCATTATTTAAATAAAAGTAAAGTAGTTTTTGTAAGTTAGTCTATCTATCTTACCATTGGCTTAAATAAACTTTAGCTACGTGATCAATTATATTTTTTATTCACATTTCTTTGAAAGCATACTTTCGGATCATTTTGTAATGTATGTGTATAAAAAGATCCCCGGCGATCATTTTATACCTATTGATAGTAACTACGACGAACATTAAAAAGCATTTCAGTTCTTACATTTTATTTAAATAAAAACAGCTTTGATCCGTTGTTTTTCTTTCATACTGACTGGGCATTGTTGTAACCACAGATGAGCAAATTCATTATCTAGATAAAAAGTTTCGAATAACGAATAAAAAATTCAAAAGTCATTTCTAATTGTTTAAACGTGGAAATTTCAATTTTTATAATAAAATAATACTTCTTTATGAATGAATCGACATTTGTCGAACAATTATTTAATCTCATTAACTGTTTAAAGCTCAGAACGATATCCTTAGATACTGCTGCTTTTCACTGTGTATTATTCGAATAAAATTCTGCCCAACTGTGGTTGTAACTAAAACAAAACACAATAATATAGCATATGGGTAAAATGATTCCGGGGATTATTTTATCCTACTAGAGAGGGATCATATGACCCCAAACACCCAACTCACATTCAGTGGTTGAATATAACATCAACTTATTACATGCGGTAACAAAACATTAATTAACTCATTATTGAATTGCGGTTAAATCCGCGCAATAAGCAGCTGTCATATTAAACCGTTTATGGCAAAAGTTACACAACATTGAAAAAGACCTTATCTTAGATAAATTGCAGTAATTCTACATTTTTCTTGTGGACAACACACAGAGCACTGATATTCACATGGCACTTCGAGCAACGACTAGTGATGTTGCAGGGAGAACTATTGTAGAACGACATTACGATATAGCACCTCTAATAACTACAGGGTAGCCAGGAATCATTTTACCTCGAGGGATCGTTTTAGACACCTTTCCCCTACATTGCAAACTTTGTAACTGCATTAAATTGTTTTAATAATTGTTGGCTACCGAAAGTGCAGACAAGAAGCCTAAAAGTAAGAAGGAACTTGAAGAAGTGATCAATCGTGTGTGGAATCGTAAATTTGATAATTATTTCCTTAAAAGACTGGTACACCTGATGCACTATAGATGCAAAGCAGTTATCAAGGCCCTTAGAGGCTCTATAAGTACTGAATCAACTCTCAGCGTAATATAGAAAAGTTAAAAATAACATTTACAATACTTAATTATATTTAAGCCGGAAAACTTTCATTTATTCCTGTATATATTCGCAACCGAAAGTCCAAGGTGTACACCATTTACAAATTTAGTAAATATCTGTATTTATTTTGAACTATTTCTGGATTTATAGTAATAAATTATGTTTTCTTTAATGTAAATCAGACCTTTAATGCCCAATAACACAGACGGTTACCGCTCAGGTGAGTGTTAAACCAAAAACATTAATATTTTTTTGAGATGGTGCAATTTCTGTGGCCACTACTATAATTAGGTAACGTGATTTTAATGTGAACAAATAACATCAAATTTAATTTTTGAAATTTATTGACTCCTTATAACAGAGCATACTTTATACTTTTCATAGAACCATGAATCTAATAATTTTTACTTTACTCCTTTTTACAAGTTCTCATTTTCTTTTTTAGACGATACAGAAATATTGAGATTGCAATAAACAGAGTAAGTAAAAGACCAACCTGTGTCACTATAAAGTATTATATAACAATACAAGATTACAACATGTAAAATAAAGAACTATTTTGAAAATAACAAACGTCAGAATGATTTAGAATATTTACCCTCAGAGTAAGTATTTATTTTTTATAACATTACTCCGAAATCATTTTATTTGAAACATTGTTCCGTATAATTAACGGTCTCGAGTACATTCGAGGGGATCGATTTAAATGACTCACCCTGTACGTCATGTAATATAGACAAAAATACTAGAAAATATTTTTTCGTAATTGTTACATAATTTTGAAATTGAAAGAGTTAAGAACTCACCTCGGGTAGTAGTTTTTCGTTCAATGGAAGTCCGCGCGGTTCGCCCGGGAAAAGAACAGAATGTTGCATGCCAAGATGAATCGGATTTTTTCCAGTCATTAGGGCAGATCTGCTAGGCGTGCACAATGCAGGAACATAATGATTATTTAAGATGACGCCGTTGTACGCGAGGGCGTCGATGTTTGGCGTAGGGATCTGATCTGATCCATGAAAGCTCACGTCGTTCCATCCCTGAAACGGATCATTTTGAATCACTTTGTCATTTGTGCTCATGGTAATGGAGTAAATTCTGTTTTTCACGATTTTACAAGTTCTTTTGATGATCGTTTTGCTAACATAACTATATACAAAAATCATAACATAATAAAAATTGTTAGTGAATATCGAATTCTGATATAAAAGCTGTCCCATCTAACATGAGCCATAAATATCTCACTTCTTTTTCATGATAGACAAAAATATGAGCAGAAAATATTATTCGAGTGGAAGAGGTAAATATTGTTACGAGCAAAACATTTTGTTAAGGTCATATTTTTAAAAATTTTAAGGTCATTGATGTTTTTTTAAATGGAAATACATGTTTTTATCATTGTGTTGTAATAGCTCAGGTCAAGACCAATCCAACGATCTATAATCTATAATAATAAGACCTTCATGTGACTTTGAGTACAAAAAAACTACAAATCTATGGGAGTAGCTGTAAATAAGAAAATAACTACGAAAGTGGTACTTCGAGCAGAAAATTTATTTTAACAAGTGCTCAAAGTGATGTCCATCGACATTGATACATTTTGCATTAATCCCTGTACCGTAGTCATTTTATTATTTACAGCTACTCCCATACATTTGTGAATTTTTCATGTTCAAAATCACATTAAGGTCATACTATTATAGGTTATTTCATTGGTCTTGATTTCAACTTTTACGCTAGGACGATCAAAATATGTGGTCCCACTTAAAACATCATCGTCGACCTGGCAATTTCGAAAAATATGATCTTCAGAACAATTTTTTGCTTATCACAATATTTGCCCCTTCCAATCATATAATATTCTTCTTTCACATTTCTTTTAATCTTCGAAAACAAGTGAGATATTTAATATGGTCACGTTAGATGGGACAACTTGTATAACTTTAGTATCCTATTCATCCCAGAACATATTTCATTAATAGTTAATCTCTCGCATATGATGAATGATTAAGAAATAATAAAAATTTTTGTGTAAAATAAAATTTCTATGACATCGAAGCGAAACATTAACAGTTTCCTAGAAAGTTGCCACTTGTTAACAACAGACAACTATTCTAACTACCTAACCATTGAAAGAGTTGTTGAATGTTTTTTGTTGGCAGGCTCTAGAATTCTTGCATCCAATTTCTTTTAATTACGTCAATGCCGTTGAATGTTATTTTTATAACAGGTGTTTCGAACGGAAAAAATGTAATTAATCGAACTACGCGCGTCCCATTGGTCTAAAGAATATAAATTCACCATAACATAAAGAAAATTGAACCTAGAAAACAACAAATATTCTTTTAAGTTTTTTTTTCTTAATGCTTGTGTCTCCAAATACTAACAGCGGTTAAAAATTTACGTTTGTTAACAAGATAAAATTTTGTTAAATATTGTAATAAATAGCTATTCAGCAGATGATATTATAGTGTGTTTGATTCTTTCACTACTTTCCTGCTTCTATAATATTAAACTTCGTACACTGTAAACTGTTTCCTTAGTTTAAAAACTAGTGGAGATAGAACAATTAAAAACTAAAGCGACAATATGTAGCTCATGTCTAGCGTAAAATTAGTCTTATTGACAATGTGTTATCGCTTATTTTTCTTTCAAAAAATCTTGTAGTTTTATTAAAAATGCAGCCGTGGAGGTAGAATAAGAATGTAAAAATCTTATTGTTGTAACATTGATGTTACAATTTTGTTATTGATAGGCCAATAAAGTCCACTGCTAAGAAATAATGAAAGCCTTTGCGTTTAGCTTTTGTTCTTTGCCTTTGCAATAGTTCCTCACCATATCATCGGCAAGAATAATGATAATATGAGGCTTCTGTTTATTCCCGTCTGCATCGTCAAATTTCTGTGACGATAGAATATTTCTCTGTGTTGTTGTCTTCGACAGAAGCGACGAGAAGAAAAATGCAGCAGAATTTGTTACCAGGAACTCCGAAAGTATCACCACAGCGAACAACTGCGATATGGACGTGACATTCATCTCGAAAGCAACTGCAAAAAAGTAGAAAAACTGAATATGATAGTTTGCATTTTATATTTTACATTTTATTAGCGCTTGCAATGTTATTTTCAAGATATACCAATTTAATACATTAGTTTACAAAGACGGTTGTTTAGGTGTTGACTGCCACTGTGAAAAAGGCGGTACGTAGCCAAACATAATTTATTTTGATTTTTAACCCTTTCATTCCCAAATTATTTCAATATTATCAAAGAAATATTTTGTTATATTTTTGTGTACATTACATGACATATAAATGATTCAGAAGAACATTTTAACATTTTGAAACCGTCTAATGCCGTTTTTCATTTGTTGCCTTTTCACAACTTTTTTACTTTTATCACAGTTATGGATAATAATGCCCAGTATAATATTATTATACATAGTAAAATCCAATTTTTCATACCTTTGGACACTAAAAGCACTTGAACTATTTGAAAGAAATTAGCTCTTTATAAGTTTCTATTATATATACATATATTGTTACGCTGTGGGGTTCCACTACACTACATAATCTTGTTTTATTATTAAAGGTGACACAACACAATATTTATTTACAACTGTACAAGTGTACAATATTAAATATCTAAAAATATATACAAATCAAATATAATACATCCGTTCTGTATCCTGTGACATCTCAGACTCTCTTTTTAAATATGCGCGGTTGTCAGCGAAACGACCGCACGATTCATAAATCGATCCTCGCACTCAGAGGCATTTTCAATTGTAACGCGTAGTCAGCTTCGTGGCTTCAAACGTCACAACATTGCCCCCTCCTTCGACGAGCGGTCGTTTCGACCGCGCCAACTCCAATCCTCAATAATTGATGAATGACGTTTCATCTGTAATCTCAATGTTGCTCATATACATTCAAGTCGCAGCAACTTCAATTTCCTGAATCTGTACTCCTGTCTGAAAAAGAGGTGTCAAATAAATTCATACCTACGTGGCCTTTTTCAGACAGCTGACGCCTTGACATTTGTCCAATGACTCAAGGAAAAACCACGTAAAAACCTTGAGTAAGACGCTGGTACTTTCAGGAGAAACTCAAACAAATTTCTCTTCGAGGATGCCCACCGTTCCTCGCCCTGTCCTCTTGACTCCTTAGATTTGTGTCTTTTATGTTTTGAAGACTTCACGGACGAATTCCTTACAGGAGCGAACATCTACCAGTCCGCAGACCGATACGAGAATACCTCTGTTGTGCAATGAGGAACCTCGGGTGAGGGACCTCACGGATTAGCCTCACGGAAAAGGGAAGATTCCGCATCTAGTAAACAATCCTTTTGTCCTCGTCTTCTGCGACGGAGCGTCCTCTTGTTGGGCAAAGATGTCGGACCTCATCCCCCAGATCGCTATAATTATTTCAAATAATTTCATATATCCATTTCTACAACTTAAAATTCTTCTAATTTCTATATCCCTTTAAAAAAATGTCAAATTGCCTTCCAATGGATCTAGGATGCAGTCAGCGACTTTAAGGCCTCTGCGCAGTACAATCTGCCACTGTGAGTCTCCTGTCGCTGGGTCGCATTTCATCTCCAAGACTCACCGCCGATCTATTCAGTAAGTTTTCCCGACAAGTCGGTGGACAGTGTGCCAATCTCGCATACCGGTTCCTGTGGGCGGACCCTCCTCTCTTCGACTATGTCGAACATTTTGTGAAGAGAACCCGACTTCCCCAGTGTGGTAAAAGTGCAGGTTTGTAAACCGTTGCACTCCCCACTGAACTCCGTACGCATGCCAGTGGATCAAGTGTGCGCATACCAGAGCGTTGGAGCTCGCACCCAGACTGTTTGCCGTTCCAAGTCTTTGCTGAACTATCATCCTTCTCATCCGTTGATTCTTGAACTCCTACCTCTTCTCTTGTAGGACGAAACATCCTCTTCTCTGGTCAAATAAATTTTCTCTTATCTTCTTCGATGCTCAATTTCACGTAAATCGAACCGAGCCAGTCGATTCACGTGTACAATCCGTGGCTTCGATTTCGGAGAATTAAATATCTTGACGCTACACGGTCAAGCTGACCTGCTTTACACTCTCGGCAAACATCTCTTTCAACAACTATCATTCCACTGGGTTTATTTCACTCTAACACATCTTACAACAGTCATAATGTTTTCACATGTCATCTTTCCGACGCTTCGCGCTTTATAGAGTGCGCGATCATGTTATCTTACATCATTTCACATCATGGCCATGGCGCATATCACATTTCCGACGCCATGCGCTTTACAGAGTACGTGATCATACCCGTATCATTAACAACATTCGCAACGTCCTCTCTACAACAGCGATACTTTCAAATATCCTGCAACAATCTCATACAGCCCACAAAAATTCGTCTCACAGTCCAATTTGAAGCATTATTGATAATATTAATATTATTATTAAAATATTTGCAGCACCACAAACAGAGAAATAAAACGATTGATTTCAACAATGAAAACAAACAAAACTCCGGGATTCGACCTAATAAGCGGAAAAATAAACAAAAATCTCCCAGACAAGGCTATTAGAATGCTCACCATAATATTCAACGCCGTATTCAGAATTCAGTACTTCCCGAGCACGTGGGAACAGGCTGAAATAATAATGCTGCTTAAACCAAACAAAAGCATACACGAACCCTCCTCGTATAGACCCATTTCTCTCTTACCAATATTGTCCAAAGTGCTAGAAAAAATACTTCTAACCAGAATCATAAAGATAATCAACACCAAGCAACTAATACCAGATCACCAATTTGGCTTCAGGAAAAAGCATGCTGCAACCGAACAAGCCCACAGAATAATCAACAAAATCACAACTGCTCTGGAAAATCGGAAATACTGCACATGCCTATTCTTAGATGTAGGAAAAGCATTCGATAAGGTTTCGTACGAAGGCTTACTGAAAACTATAAAACAATATTTCCCAGACGCAATCTACCAATTACTAAAATCTTACCTTAACAACAGAACATTCTACGTAAAAATAAAAAAACTCATACTCAGCAGAGAAGGGCAAAATTTTTATCTAAATAAAAATTTTGAATAATGAATAAACGTTAAAAGATTTTACTCGTTACTCGAAGCTTGAATAAAAAAAGTATCTTTATTCAACGAGCGTTGATTGAATAAATTTATTTAACGAGAATTATCAGACGAATAAAAGATACTTTTTTTATTTGGGACATTTTATTCATAGCGTTGACGATATTTTCATCTTTTATTTGTATCTTTTATCCAAAGGCTTTGAATTAATTTTCAAATAACTTTGGCCAGCCAGCCAGCTCGAAAAAACGCACTAGTGAGCGTCGAGCGTCGAACGTCAAAGGCCAGCGACCGACAGTCGGCATACAATGTACACAGACGTAGATGAGATAAGGAATCACGCACGAATGAAAATTTAAACTTTTACAATTTTCAATATATATTAATAACAGTGTCATGAATAAACTGAGGAGATTCAGTCGGTGGAAATGAGTCCAAATACGACATCATTTGGACTATCTTCAATAATATATCATTTTTATTTGCAACATTACGTATGAGTAAAAATTGTTCAATTACACTCGAATTTGGATGCATTTTCATCGCGAGAATCTCTTGAATTCATGGTATTCGAACAGGATTTCCAAGGCAGCAGTGATGTCAGAATCGCGGTACGGTTTACCCCCACTCTTTTGCCAATATACCTCGCTGTCACTCGAATGCACAATCGGTAGGACGTGGACCCCCCACTCTTTACCCACTACAGCTCACAATTTCTCCAACGGCCAGCGCATACGGACAGGGCTGGGAATGGGACATGCCCTCAGGCACAGGTCAGGGGGGGGGGGTTATGCTTGTGATGTCAGCACGGTGGACGTAAAGTGGGAGACGCCGGTAGGTCATAGTGGGAGACGATGGTACGTCGGAGTGGGAGAGTGGTGAGGGTAAACAGTACCACGATTCTGGCATCACTGGCCTGTGCGGGTTGCACCCCTGCGGCAAAAAAAGGGTTGCCCTGCAGGGGGTGCGGTTTATAGGGGTCACATCCGCGATGACCCCTCGCGTCGCCCGCAGGACAATCGGGTCGAGGAGGTGGTACTGGGGGTACCACCTCCTTTCGCGGTCGGCTCACCAGAAGACAGTGTCCGTCCATCGTGGGGGCACGACACAAAACAGCCGTTCTCGGGGGGGGGGGGGCTATGCACTCCCGCCCCCCGAGAGAAGAGCCCTCTCTGAAAGATCTAGAGGGAGGGCAAGGGCGGGGCTAGTCGTGATGAGTGGTCGAATGACCCCGTGACCGGCCCCTACGCCCGAAATCGTCACCGGGGGGTTTTTTAGCGGGTGAAACCCCGCATTGGCCGTCTCCGTCCCCAGCGGAGGCGGTGCACCTTCGTAAAAAAAAGGGCTGCTTGCCCGACACGTTTAAGCTACCCGAGACGAATAACTACCCGAAACGATCAAGCTTCTCGAGATGATCAACTACCCGAAACGATCAAGCTTCTCGAGATGATCAAGCTATCCGAAATGATCAAGCTATCCGAAATGATCAAGCTTCCCGACGCGATCAAGCTACTGGAACATTCGTATGTCTCGGGTACCTGCTCGAGCTCGCACGACTTTTGCCAACCCGACCCGAGTCCGAAATGTCGGGTACCCGCACACCCCTAGTGTGCGCGTGTGTGAGTTACACAATGCACGTAGCATGGGGTTCTGGAAAATCTTGGAAAGTTCCAGATTCCTGATGTAGCGACAATTGCAAAAACAATTGATACATCAAATAATAAAAATAAATAAATGACCCAGTATTTTTTAGATTTTTAGAGGTTGGCTTACGCAGAATGATGGTGATTTAATGCATGCCTGTATTCAACAGCATTGGAAAAAGAAATCTCTATACACAAGATGAGTGATGCAGACTCATGAGTGAATGTAAAATTTATAATCCATGCATTGTTAAAGAAAAGTTGTAGGCAGAAATATTTGACTTGAAAGATTTATCGAAAAAATTGAATTGGTCGTTTGTAAATCACTTTAGTTTGAGAGATTCGTGTATACCCAGATGGTAATTCAATTAGCGTTAAATATGATTTGAATGATAACAGTATCGAAAGGAATATTTTGAAACGGTACGTTTCAAAGGAGGATATTATGGAATATAGATTACAAAATGCCTACAGTACTAAAATCTGTAAAAAAAAAACATGATTTATTATAGCTATAGTACCTTAAGTTCTTATCCCACAAAAATTTATTCATTTTTTAATAATAGTATTGTTTATTTAATAAATCAGTTTATGTTTGTTTATATTTGATTTTTTCATTTATTCCATTAACCCATTGAATCCGAAGAATTTTGGCCATAATACAGAACGTACATATGTAGGTATACGCCGCCCGGATTGAAATAGATAAAGACGTTCATTTCAGTTAAAATAAACGTTTATCTTTTTAATTTTGCAATAGAATGTTAGGCAACCTATTTAATGCGATTGTTTTCGTAGCTAGAATTGAAACATGCTACTTTTTGCGACAAGCAGCAAACCGTGCTACTTTTCGCGATGGACTACTGAAATGTGTTAGTTTTCGTAGCAAAAAAGCACAACATGCTAGTCTTCGTCGTTGTAAGTGAAAACACAGAAAGTCCGAAGTGCTAGTCTTCGTAAGACAAATGAAACGTGCTACTTTTCGTAACACACGTCAATATTTTCTTAACCGTGTTAAAACAAAGCAAATCGAATAAAAAATGATTTAGATTGTTCTACAGATCGTGTTAAATCGATATACGTCTATGGTTAAATCTAAATTGTACAAGGAAAATCCGTGTAAAAACAAACTGAAATGTGTTTGTTTGCCATAATAGGTTTTGTATACAGTGGTAACTAATACACAGTAACATTGATGTAGAACTGATAAATAATAGGACGCTACTGACAGTGTTTTATATAAATAGAATTGGAATGCATTGGTCAGGCACATTATACAAGTCGAATTCAAAAGAACACGTGTCCAGTAAATGTTAAAGTTTAAATGTTTCAAAAACAGAACTCGTACGCAAAGGATATTTAAAAAAATTTTAACCATTTTTGCAATCGAAATTAGTTTTTCCTCTTGCGTAACACGAAGTTTCTGCACCGTACACTTTGTTTAACTCACTTCGCATAAGATTATGCTCGAATCAATCATTTATTCGGTTGATCAGACTTTTCGTTTCGAAGCACCAACAATTTATGAATCGTACAATATTCTATGATACTTTTGAAGTAGAAATTTACGTTAATTGTTCTGACGATATTGGTAGTATGCTATACAACAAATCACAGTATACATTATTTAGGACAGCACGAATGCTCACCTCAAGGCACAACGCTGAACACTTTCTTGTTCACCAGTTCGACGTAGACTGCACAATTCGTCTAATTCACGCTTAAACGAAGCGTTCGCATAACCTCGGCTGAGAGTTTTTGCATTTCGGCCGTGATCAATAACGCTGAAAAGTAGATAATCGACTCCAAGGTGGGATAGGTGGAAGATGGAAATACAACCTGCTAAGCGAATGTCTTGTAAGTACTTCCTTATTGTTTGTTTTTATTGTGGTTGGAAACACTCCTATCTGTATATTCTGAATAATTGAAAAACTAAGAAATACTACGTCATACAAATTACTTTGTTAAAAATTTTATTCACGTTTTACAATTAGAACTGATTCGAGTACCTACATTGTGTTCCCCAGAAAGTTTCGAACTGAAAAATAAAACAGCAATTTTTCATGAGACATGAATGAATTTAATTATTCAGTTAAATTATCCAGAAAAATTAATTATTCGAAAGAATTTTGTAAATGGAAACTACAAATTATTCAAAAGTTTCTATAATTATTCAAAAGCCTTCTGAAGAGAAATATTGTTTA